CAGACACGGTCACAACTGTCAGACATAGTCCCAGCCGTGGGGCACAGTCACAGCAGGTAGACACAGGTGTGGTCACGGGTTAAAAGCTGGTGGCTCAGGCGCACATGAAAACCAAGAATCCTCTGCTGGACCCCTGTGAGCACCTCCCCAGACCTGCTTTGTCCTCGTGACTCCTGTAGACAGACACATGCTTGCCAGTCTTTGATGGCTACACGATGCCACCAGAACTGTGTCTCTCCAGAGCCCCGCATGTCGATAGACTCCCACCCAGTCTGGCACAGCTCCAATTTCCCAAGTTTTAAAATACTTTTCTCCATTGAAAAGCTAATTCTCCTTCCAGAGGGGGACCCTTAATCTGGGTGGTTATGATTTTTAGGGAGTCCCTGAAAGCAGCCAGTTCAGGGGTGTTGGCTGGTAATCAATCGTGGCATGATTCCAGGAAGATTCTCAAACGGCTTTGAGCCCGTCCATGAGGATGTGTTTTGTGCCCACAGGCCAAGAGCAAGGCAACCACAGTGTAGCAAGGGCTTGTAGGCCTCAAGACAATGTGCTTTTCACACTTGTGGTCATGTGCCCGTCACACTCTCACTGACGCCCACGTGTCAGGATCCAGAAACAGCCACGGTCACCCGGTAATGGGCAAAGCAGCCATGGTCCAGGGTGACGAGAGCAGCTGCCGGGTGGCTGCAAAGAAGGCAGTATGGCTCAGCTGTCTGCAGCTGTGTCATGAGACCTGGCCGGAGTGATCGACCTGTGGGGACAGAGGGTGTCTTCTTAAGTTAGGGTGCCGACGGGAATTCCCCTCATACCTGTGGTAGGTCGGTGTCCTCTGTGCCCGGCTACCCCTGGCCTTCAGTCTTGACTCCCATCATGTTTGCAGAGGTCCCGGCTGACGCGGTTCCACAGTCTCAAGTCGGTGGTAGTCAAGGCCTGCCTGAGAGAGAACAGACGCATTGGGAGCCGACAGCATTGGGGCTCACACCACACAGGTGGGCTCAACACGGGAGGGGGGAGGGGTCACACCACACAGGTGGGCTCAACACAGGGAGTGGGGAGGGGTCACACTACACAGGTGGGCTCAACACGGGGAGGGGGAAGGGGTCACAACACAGGTGGGCTCAACACGGGAGGGGGGAGGGGTCACACCACACAGGTGGGCTCAACACAGGGAGGGGGAGGGGTCACACCACACAGGTGGGCTCAACACAGGGAGGGGGAGGAGCCACACTACACAGGTGGACTCAGCATGGGGAGTGGGGAGGGGTCACACCACACAGGTGGGCTCAACGGGGGGAGGGGTCACATTACACAGGTGGGCTCAGCATGGGGAGTGGGGAGGGGTCACCCCACACAGGTGGGCTCAAAACGGGGGAGGGGTCACACTAACACAGGTGGGCGCAGCACGAGGCTCACACCAGGCAGGTGGTCATGGTGTGTATGGGTGTGGGCGGTGGGGAGGGGTTACTGCAGGTGACGTGGTGCAGGATCATGTGCTGGAGCTAGGAGAGAAAGTGAACATGGCTTTTTCCAGAGGGGCAGACTTCAAGGAAGGGCTGCTTGCTATTGGGTTGACCAGGAGTCTGATCTTGGTCAGGTCTCCCCCCTCAACACCCCAGGCCAGGACCAGGGCACAGACTGCTTACTAGACACAGGTCATTAGAAAAGTTGAAGATAATGAGAAAAAAAAAAAAAAAAATAAAATGTAAGTGGCCTTAGTTCAGTCACCTGAGGTGATGAATGGGGACATGGTACGTGTCTAGGGTGTTACCTGTGTCTGCCCAGCACTGAGCCCTGCACCTGAGACCTGTGCCATGAGGCGTCTCCGGACTCACAGCACAAGCATCATCGTGTTAACGAAGCGTGGCCTCTGTGTTTGCTTAACCATGCCCATTTCGGAGCTCTTGGATGGTTTCCAGTTTCTCCAATTATAATAACACTTTTTATGCTTCTGGTGCATAAAACTCTTTCAGATGACTTTCTTCAGTGACCAGGTGGGACTCCATTGTCAGAATGTGGTGCTGCCTCCTGGTGAGGAGCCTTTCCTGGTGGCTCAGCAGTGCTTTAAAAGTTGTTTATTGCTGTGATCGATGGAAAATTGTCTCTCATTGATTGGATGGTGCTCTGATGATCCATGAAGTCGGATAACTCGTTTATCAGCCTATTCTGTTAATCATCGCTGCATCTGTCTTTTTATTATTAATTCATGAGCTCATCTGATGATATGCTGACCCTGTAACTGTGGCCCCCGTCTTTCTATGGAATAGCAGACTGACCTCAAGCCCCTGCCCTACAGCACCTTCTGTGTGAGGCCAGCAGCTCGGGGCGGCAGCATTAACCCTGTCTGCTACCGAGTGAGGGAAAGCCGTGGAGACAGGAAGGGTCTCTTCCCGAGTCCCAGAAGTACCTGTCCCTCCATGCTGCAGTCAGGGCTGAAGGTGTCAAAGCAGAGTGTTGCCTGGCCCCAGAGGCTGCACCTGGAAGAACAGGTCCTGGGTGGTCCCTGAACATTGGCAGACCTGGGCTCTAAAGAGGTGTGGCTCTTTACCTTCCATTCCCACAGACCCTGTCTGTCAGGGCTGGGGGACCCCTTCAGCAACTTGGCCCCCAGAGTGAGATCCCATGACCAGTGCTGGTGGACAGAGGCAGTCAGATCCTGGCCTTGTCCATGTTGGCCTCCTGAGTGTCAAGTGCAGGTCAGGCCTCACCACTGATCCCACTTGGACGCCCCTGTCTGCACTGTCAAGGAGTCCTGTCCCCAGTGCTGACCCCACTTGGGTGGCCCTGTGTGTGGTGTTGAGGAGCTCGATCTCAGGGTGAGACACGGCTAACTGACATGTGACTTGTGTTCCACAGGGAGGTGGTCAAGACAGGGCACCAGCTCACAGCGGACGAGCTCTGGACACAGCCGCGCAGGCCCAGGACAGCCATGGAGGGATCAGGCTCCAGGTAAGCCGGTGACAGCCGCCAGTCCCACCCGCAGCACTTTCTGAGCTCTGTGAAGGACTGATGTCACTGTGGTCTGTGAAAGTTGACAAGTGTCTATGTGAAATTTAGAACCAGGTGAACAAACGGCTCCGTGCTGCTCTCCGCAGACACTGTGGTCTGGCGCTGAATGTGCCAAGCTATGGGGCTGGCACCATGCTGCAGACATTCGAGACCACTCTTCACGTGGTGGGTTACTGCAGCTTGTCAGATTGACCCAAGGAGCCAGGCAGGCTGAAGACTATTACCACAGGGTGTTCGCAGGGTGAAGGTCATCACCTCAGGGGTTCTGGGGGTGATGGTCGTCACTGCAGGGGTTCTGAGGGGTGAAAGTCATCACTGCAGGGGTTCTAGGGGTAAAGGTCATCACCACTGGGATTCTAGGGGTGAAGGTCATCACCTCAGAGACTTTGAGAGTTACTGACACTGTCCTGTCTGTATAGAGAAAAGCACCTGCTTTCTCAGCGTCCTTTTTACTCTTTGCTAGTTGGAGGAAATTTAGGACTACCTAATAAAGTCCTGTTGTGGTGCTGTAGGATTAGCACTCGACCATAAGGTCACTTTGAACTGCAAGGTGGGTAGTTCAAACTCACCAGTGGCTCCTTGGAAACCGTACACAGGGCAGGGTCTCGATGAGTTGAAACTGACTCGACAACACTTAGCAACAACAATGAAGAATGAAGGAGACAGTCTGCAATCCCTCACGATTCTTTTCATCTGGAGGGCTTTCTCCTGGCCTTGTCCAAGCCCTTCAGGTGGTTAGTCCTACAGCCTCCTCACACCACACAGACCCCTCTGTGAGCCCCTGTGCCTGGAGCTCCCTCCTCAGCTCAGGGCTAGGCCCCATGCAGCTTCCTGAGATCGCCCTGCTGCTTAGTGGGGTGCGGGTGGTGTAGCACACCATAGGGACTTGGTAAGGGGGTGGGGGAGCTCGATGGGCCAGTACCTCCATGTATGAAGGCAGGTCCACAGGTTCCCGTGTGCTGTTCCTCATGCTTCACATCTTACAGACTTGGACATGTTTGCCGTGCTTGGCGCGAGATGGTTTTGGTTGACTGGGGAGTTGCATTCATTGGTATGTTCATCCATGCTTGCCACAGTTCCCCAGGATCTCCTGGGATTTGCTGCATTCGATAGCTACAAATCACGGCACATCTCACTGCTGACAGGGATTGTTTAGGACATGGCTTACACGTGTGGCTGAAAAGCCAGACAACTGCATTTGGTTCTCTTCTAGACCGGAAGGCGTGAGGATGCCTTTGTGGTACACAGAAGCAGACGGCAGTGGTGTGCATTCACAGGAGTGCTGTGGGGCTGGCGACTGGATTTGTAAGCCACACAAAAACCTACAGCTTCTAGGCAGAGTGCAGGCTAGTGAGTGAATTGTGCAGAGAGAGGTTTGCTTTTTTGCTTCGTTGTTAAGTATGTCGAATTGGTTCTGACCCATAGTGGTGCTGTATTGGGTTTCCAAGTTGCAGCTGGTGAGTTTGAGCCACGGTCCTTATTAAATAAAAGCATTTCTGGGAGACTGGAGAGTTAACATGTGAGAGGGAAGCCGTTCTCCAGGAAACTAACACCAAAGAATTCTGACCCTTTCCTCCTGTGTGTTGGACTCGTGGTGGTGGTGTGACCATAGGATAAGCATTGGACTGCTAACTACAAGATCAGGGGTTCCAACCTACCAGCTGCTCTTTGGAAACCCTATACAGGTTCGCTCTGAATCAGAACTGGTTCCATAGCACTCAGCAACCTCTTACCTGTTGTAGAAAAACCTTCTCATTTTAGGTATTGTTGAGTGCCATGGAGTCAGTTCCGAATCACTGGGACCCTGTGTAGGGTTTCCGAAGCTTTCAATCTGCAGGAGCTGAAAGGCTCATCTTTCTCCTGCGGAGTGACTGGTGTTCAAACCTCCGAGCTTGTGATCCACAGCCAAGTGCTTATTTTACACAGCGACCACATTCCCACTTCATGACCACCTTGTAAGAATGTCTGTCAGACTTGGGAGCAAGACTGGAAAAGTGTGTTCTGGTCTTTCAGAAGCAGTAAAAGTCTACAGCCTTCATCAGTTGGAGCTAGAACAGACTGCAGAAGGCCTCGCCCGTGATGGGTAGGGCTCTGAGTTGGAAGGAAGCCCCTCTGTTGGGTGGGTAACGTTAGTCATGTGAAGGGGGCAGCCCTCAGAGTCAGGGGAAATTAGATGTTAGGGTTGGATCAGTGTTGACAGGAGTTTCTGCATGGAGGGGGGCAGAAATCAAGTGTCCTGCAAGATAAGCTACAAGCCGTTTTGCGTTTTGCCTCACAAGGGAGGTTCAAAGCCAGCAATTGAAATAGTGAGTTTGAGGGTTGATGAGGACTGAATTCCTACTGCACCCTCAGGCTTTGATGCTGTCACTGGATTGATGGTCCCCAAAGGTGTGGGCTGCCTTGGCCTCCTCCTGCTGCTTCCTGGTGATGTAAAAGGAGCCCGAAGAAAGCAGTTGCTATTTCCAGGACATAGTTAACGGGGGAAATTGTTGGTGCTAGTGAAAAACCTCACAATTGCTCAAAAGCTAGAAGCCCTGGAGCTAACTGACCCCACCTGGCCAGAGTGGGGAGAGTTGGGTGTTGGGGTCGCAGAAGGCAGCAGGCCTCCCTGGCCCAGGGTCCCCCCATCTGTGACTGAGGAGGAGATGTGAGCCTCACCTGGCCTAGGTGGGGGGAGCCCTGAGAACCTCTTGGAGAACAAAGGGCAGCAGCTGGTGCCGGAAGGATGTGTGACATTCCACAGTCCTCACTTTCTCACCCCCCAGGTGTCAGGAGGCCCAGCTGTTGTAAACCCCTTCTGATGCTGGCATCTGGAGCACATTTGGTGTCTGCTTGAAACAAATGCCTCCTTTTGCCCATCTTGCACCTTCTTTGCTGGAGGTGTGAGGTATGGGAATCAGGGGGCCTTGGCGGGATGCATGAAAGCAGGTGGATGATGAGCCAAGGAGAGCACTCAAAGCAACCCCAGAGAAAACGAGCCAGGAGAGCTTTGTGGGGATTCAGTTTCCAGGTTTGTCAGCTGGGCATTCTCTTAGCCCTGGGTTCGGCCAAGGGAATCCCTGCATGGCACGGTGTTGTGTTGTGTGGGGGTGTTGCTGTGTCTACAGGGTCCTGGAACTTGGACTGTGGAGAGGAAGGATACTGTCCTGGAGGGTGGTGATCCCACCTTGATGGAATCTGTAGAGGACAACATCTTGACCATGGGTGTACTGAACACAGGAACATTCTGTCCTCACAGATAGCTGAGTCTGCTGCTGTTAAGAATACTTAGGAAGTGGCAGTGGTTTCCTGCTGGAATAGTTAGAGACCTAATGCTTGCTTTTTGGGTTTCTCATCTGGCCCCAGGGAGCCGACAGTACGAGCATGCTCAGCGCCGAAGATACTCGTCGAGCTCCGGGTAAGTACTTCCCCTCGTGCCTCCAGCTCCATCAGAGACGAAAGTGACTTCAGGACTGGTGTGTTCCAAGTCAGCCTGAGCCAGGCCCACCTACCCAGGGATGTGCACACTTCACAAATGAAGGTGGTGGTACTGCACACGTCACCTCTTCTAGGGTTCATTTTGCTAAATGAGCCTTGTGAGAGTCTGAGGAGATGCCAAGGATTCTTAGGCTCTGTTTTGAGAATAAATTTTAAGTTGCTTAGTTAGGCTACAGCCTTGTCATGTGTTAAGATATGACAGAAATGATTTAAAAGAATTGGCATCAGCAAGGTACCAAGTGTGTCTGCTGTGGACAAGACGGCAGTCTTGGAAACCCTACGTAGGGTCGCTGGGAGTTGGAGTCTCTCGTATTTTGGACATGTTGTCAGAAGGGACCAATCCCTGAAGAGAGGGACATCATGCTTGGTAAAGTGGAGGGTCTGTGAGAAAGAGGAAGACCCCCAATGAGATGATTAAGGTCATGGAGGCAGCAGTGGGTTCAAACCTAACAGTCGTGAGGGCAGAGCCCGTTGGGCACAGGGTCACTGTGAGTCAGAGCCGACTGGACGGTCCCTAACAACAATGCAATGTACTCGGTGGCAGTGGGGTTTGTTTTGGTTTTCCCCATTGCTATAAAAAGACTATTGTCAGCACTGAACAGCAGGAACCCACCCCGTGGGTCTGTGGGATAGCTGTGTCTGCCTTGCCCCACACTCAGCCACAGTGAGAAGGATCTTACAGGCAATGCATGGGTGTGAGCGCACCAACACCAGTCCTAGTCCTGGGGTGTCTCTATCCCAAGACACCAACCTCTCCAGGCTCCACAGATCTAAGGAGGAATTTTGAGTTGTGATTTTCAGTTTGGTTACAGTATTATGTTGTTAGTCATGATTCATAACAACTCTGTATAAGGTTTCTGAAGCTGTAAATCTTTACGGGAGCAGAAAGCCTCCTCTTTCTCCCACAGAACGACTGTTGGGTTTGAACTGCTGACCGTATCCTACAGAGCCACCAGAGCTCCCCATAAACCACAGAAATAACATTTTATATATCAACCCAGTATGCCTACATGTAGAGTATGTGTGTGCACATATGAATGTGCATGTATGAGCACGTGTGTGCATATATACAAGTATCTGCGTACGTGTATATGTGCGTACAAGTGTGTGTATGTCTGAAGTGAGGGAACCATCCCCATTTTGTCGTGACCACACTGATAGTCTGTATATTGTGTGCCTGCGTGTCGTGTGTGTTTGTGTATATGCCGTCACAATGGTACCCTCCTAGGGCGGACAGAGATCAGGGAACAGGAGTGGTGCCTCCCGGGCACTGAGGTTAGGTCCACACAGCTCACTGCAGAGGCCTAAGATGAGGCTTCAGGTTCCAGCTGAGCGGCAAGTGGTAGTGACACCTCTCTGCATATTCTCGAATCGGTTAGGATCTAACATCGTCAAATTCCCCCGTAGGTCTTCAAGTCTCCCTTATAAACTCCCTATAAATGCGCCCCATCTCCCTCACTCCAGTGTCCCATGCACAAGCCCTGGCTCTCCCTTACATCACCCACATCACAACCCAACACCTTCCCATCAGTGTGGAGGGGAGGGGATGAATCTGGTCCACTGTCTTGGAGCCTCACAGGCTTGTTCTCTTCCAGGTGGTCCAAATGATCCACAGGGGCTGGGAGCAGCAGAGGCCTGTACAGACGGGAGTGTCCCCCAGCCAGCCCCCAGCAGAGATGGGACGTCAGCAGGAGACATGTCCTGAGATGCCATATGGGGTGCAGCATGGACTCCGTCAGTCCCTGCTGCTGCTGCCGCTGTTCCCACAGTCGTTGGGTGGTTGTCGTGCACAGGCCTGTGGATGCAGAGGAGGAAGAGGCCTTTCAAAGAAAGAATCCAGAAGCAAAGAGCTTGTCCTTCCATGTGCCTCTCCCCTGACCACTGCCCTTGAGCACACTCCATGTGTGAAGCAGTACATCATGTGTGTGAGCAGTATATTGCCTTATGAACAGCATAGTCCAACACATATGTATACAAACAACACATCCTGTGTGTGAGCAGTACCTCGTGTGTGTGTACACCACATATCTGAAACGTGTGCATGTGTGTTATGTGTAACATGTGACTAGCATCTCACATGTGTGGTCAGTGTGTTTGTGTATGAACAGTGCACTGTGTGTGTGAGCAGTACACTACATGTGTACAGTGTGTGTATGAACCACACACTCCATGTCTGAGTAGTACATCACACATGCTCAGTACATCATGTGTGTGAACAGCACATCGTGTTCATGTGAGTAGTTCAATTTGCACAGCAGACTCTCTGGTGGACACAGTCCCTAAAGTGTGTGGGTGCCCCAGGCACATCCTCTGGGTGCCTGTTCAGATTCCTGTTGAAAAGTGGTCAGTGGACTGTTTCCAACAGGTGAGTGAGTGAATGGTATGGTTTCCAGCCTGTCCTCTGGTCAGTCTGCTGCACTGACCAGGAATGTGCTCATCTTGGCTTTCTTTAAAGGTAGTTCCTTTGGACCAAAGTGAATGCTGTGTGGTGGATGAAGTGACCCATGACACCCTGATATTGCCTAAATGTGTTTATGTCCGAGTAAGGTTCTGAACTACAGCTCTCCGTCCAAGATGTTTTGGGACCCAGTAATATTCAGGATGCAGAGGTGTGTGATCGAGGGCTGCTCCCATAGGGCAGTCTCAAGAGCAGTGATTGGGTTGGAACTGAGTGGGGAGAGGAGGGCCAGAAACCTGGGCTCTCCACCCTCCAGGGGCCATGGAGAACAGAGGTGCCACCTGTCTCCCACACCCTCACCGAGAAAGAAACCAGGCTTGTTTCCTGATCACCACAGAAGAATTTGGAGAAAGAACATCTACTCTTCATGTGTGCAGCAGTACACATAGCCCTGGGTGTCAGGCAGACTCTGACAAGAGGCCAGTCTGTGCCCTGAGGCCATACCACATCCCCCAGGGGGGCGGCAGGGACTCAGGTTGTTCCTGTTCACAGTCACAAGAGTACGAGGTGAGGTGTGTCTTTGTGTTGCTACATAGCCTCTGAAGTCCGTGTCTAATCACCTGGGATGCTGCTCTGTCCTACTGAGCATCCAGTGAGCCCACAGACTCCACCTTTCAGGTCTTACAGCCTGGATGGACTTTGAAGGAATGGAGGAGGGCGAGAGGCCATCTGGGGTCCACAGCCCTTGGCTGTGGCTATGAGAGCCCAGTGCCCTGCTGGGCAGGGATGAGAGTTCGCTGTCATCTTGATGAAATGTTCAATGGTGGTACATTTCTGTGTTCTCACCTCTAGAGACATCTCGGGTGTATGTGTGTGTGAGTGTGTGTGTGTGTGGTTTTCTCCTAGCCCAGGCCTGGATGTCTGGATATAAATTGCAAATTATTGAAATTAAGAACATCACAGACCCTGCTATCTGGAAATAAGCTCATGTGCTGGGACCATGCCTGTGTGTGACATTTAGGGGAGGAGTCCATGTCCCGTTTGTACATATGCTGCCATGCTACTTTTTTCCCATTTAGAAACAGTAAATTATGTAATAGCCGACTCTGATGCATTAAGCAAAAAAAAGATGGGGGCAGGGATCTTGTCCCTTGAGGAGGAGGCTGCATGCCCTGGAGGGAGTGTGGGCTCCACACACCCAAGGGGATCAGAAAGTTGTGCTTTGAAGGGGTTTCTGTGTAGGGGAGGACACACCTTCCACATACTCACCCCAGGCTCCTAAAATAACCTGGAGTCGCAGGGGAGAACTGATTGCTCCAAAGGCCTGGAGGCAGAGGTGACTGCAGGGAAGAAGGTGCTCTGCCCAACGCCAGTTACTGAGAACCCAGAACACAAGGCATCTTCATTACTAAAATGCTGCCTTCCCAACCAACAGAAAAGTACTTCCCTCAGACCCTCCGCACCCACAGCTTGAGGTCGGATCCTTGGGGCTGGAATCTTTGCTGGGCTCCCTAAGCTCTGACCCTTGACTCCTGTCCCTGTCTGCCGGTCTTCCTGCCTGGCGTGCATTTTACTCTCCTAACCTGTAGCACTTAAGCTACAGGTCCCTCCTACCCCAAGCCAGTGGCTAAGTGCTGAAAAGTTGGTTCTGACTCATAGCAACCCTGTATAAAGTTTCCAAGGAGCAGGTGAGTTTGAACTACAGTCTAGCACGTTAACCTGCAGCACCACACCAGGACTCCCCCCCAAAACAAGTGTTATTGTGAAGTGCTGACCCATAGCTAGGGTTTCCTGAGGAGCGACTGATGAGCCGCAGTGTCGACCTAAGAGTTCAAAGCGACTTTGCTGTGTGGTGCATTTCCCAAAGCACATAGCATGTGTTTAAAATCAGGAACAGTGAAACTTGTAGCGCACTGCTGCTCAGGGGCCTGACGTTATGCCAGTCCGCCTTGTTCCTTGGAGCAGCTCAGTTCTGTTCTCAAGTGCCAGGGTGTGAGCATGGTAGGGATCATTGTCCTCAAGTCCCACTGGACAGCTGAGATGGTGGTAGTCAGACCATAAACAGCCTGACAACACTGAGCTGTGAGTGCTAGCTGACATGCTTGTTCTAAACAGTTTGTACTTCAGGCCCTCCAAGGCGGCCTCTGGGTTGTAACCTGATTTGCTTCAAGGAGAATCTATTTGAGGGGGCTTCTAGCTTCAGCAAAGGTCCACTGAGACTGGACAAGAGTGGGCTGAGCTAGGAGGAGGGGTCGCCTGACTGCTAGCCACGCTCTCTACCTCGAGGGCAGTGGCTAGAATGCGGGCCACCTGCGGGCACAGCCTCAGTACTGCATTGCCTGCTGCGTGCTCACCACGAAGGTGAGAGCTAGCTACTCATGGACTACACAGGCCACAGGTGGACACGTCCCTAGAACCCGGGGCTGCGATGCCTTCGCCCGGACCAAGGCCATCATCACGAGAGACCGCGTGCATATCCCGGGTGTTTCCGATTGGCACGCCCTCGCCGCCACCGCCGCAGCAGGTAGCGCTCCCCGAGCTCCGCTGCCACGCCAGTGTGCATGGGGAAGACAGATTGTCCCTGGGTCCGTCCGCGAGGGGACTCAGCCGGGCGCAGTCGGGTCCTTGCGGCTGCTGATCTCCGCGGCGAGGACGCGCCCCACGGGAAGGAAATGGCGTGTTGCGCGCCCGCCTCCTGCCCACCGTCCATCTGTGCTCGCGCCAGCGCGCGGGGACATATGCTGCCTGTTGCTCACTCGCCATCTGTTTCGGCGGCCCAGAGTCCCGGTCGTCATGGCAACGGGTGGCGAGCGCACACAGTAAATTCAGCTTCCGCGTCCTGCTCTGGAATGGGCTCTCAGCCCCTGTCTTTCCCGTGCTCTTGTCCTCCCCTGGGCCCACTCATCCCCGGCGCCCCCGACCCTGCCTTGTACTGGTCCTCTCTACCCCCCAGGTTCTTCCTAACCCCCACCTGATTCACCCCTCTACCCCCGGTCCTTCCCTCGCGTTGTACCCTTCCCCCATGCGCCTGTCCCGGGTCCAGTACCCGGACCCCAGCGCTCCCGGTGCCTCTACTGGGCGTCGAGCCGACGACTCAGAGTGACCGAGAGTCTCTGTCCCTCGGTCCGTCTGCCCAGCGGGTCTTCCACCTCCATCGGCCGGCTGGGCGCCGGCAGATCACCAGCTGGCCGGGCGGCTCCGGGCGTGGAACATCTGTGTCTCGTGCTGTTCTGCACAGCTGGCCGGCTGGGAACAAACGGGCCATTATTAACGAGCGGCGGCTGCCCAGCCGGCTGGGAACGTGCGCGCGCACCGGGAGGGCCCTGGGCGGCGGAGGGGCTCACAGAAGCAGCGCCGAACTCCAAACCGCCGCCTCTAGGTGAGAAAGCTAAACCCTAGGGAGCTGTGGGGTGGAGGGTCCGCGCACGGCACGGGGTAGCCCTCATCTCTACCCCAGCCAGACCTGGAAGTCGGGGTCAAGAGGCCTGGGTCCTGTTTCTCTGCAGGTTCCCTGTCTCCACTTTCCAGGGCCATGGTAGACACAGTGTGCACGTCCTAACCTGGACCCACGCCAAATGCCAGCGACGCCGGGTGACCGGCCCTCAGATTCCCCCGGACACTCACGACCCACATCACTTCAGAACTTGAGGAAGGGTCCACAAACACGAGGCCCTCTTGTTCCTGCGCATTTTATCGCCGCCACGGAGAAACGCACTTGGCTTT